TCTCTCCTTAAAACCTTAAACAGAAGATTCCACACAACTTTACTGAAGTAGTTCATCGGTGGAGGCCAACTCAGCGATTGGACTGTCAAACTACTGAGCTACCTATTTTTCTCACCCAGACTTGTTCTAAGGTATGTTCAGTATCGTTTCACTTGTCATTAATGATGTTTTTAATCCTCTAGATAATTCATGGTTAAATAATTAGTTGTCTGTTGTGGTAACCCTTTCTGGACTGAATTGTTGCCGCTGATATAATGAGATCTGTTTTCATTCTCACAGTGGAATACTTAATTAAATTGTGTGAAACTTGGTACACAGATTTCAAAACAGTATTTACTTTCTGATTAAAATATTTAAATTGATTTAGTAGTTCCATTATCTTGTAGATTATGAAATGTCCAAAACATTGAGACAGTTTTGAAAAAAAAATTTAGAAATATTTCATTGCACATTAGTTTTCTTTTAATGTTAATAAGGAGCTTTCATTTCTTATATCCTGCCAGTTTGATGTTCATTGATATATTTACTTTGATAGTTTGTTCTGTCAGTTGAAACATTGACCACTTGTAGATATAAATCATACAAAAACACTGAAAAATACTAACAATTATTGGTGACCAATTACCTCATCTTTAGGTATGGCATTACTGTTACCATTGTCAGGAGTTATTTTGTGATTTTTTGAAAACGGTAATCTTTGTTGAGATTAATTTATGTCTAAAAAATAGTTTTCAATCAATAATGAGTTATTTAATTTGTGTATTGTTTGAATAAAACAAACTTGACATATTGAATAGTGTGCTGTTGATTACTGTACTTGTTCAACTATCTAAAGTTACCTGATGTCTTGTCATGGAAGAATATTCATGTAGCTTATAAATAGATATAACTTAACAAAACAAAACAAAAAACATATCAGGAATGGAAAGAATGTCAAAAGAAATTATAAAATAGTTCCTTTTACAACAACTGTTGTAAATCTTTTGTTAGGATCCCATAGTTCATCCTTTCTATACCTATATAGGTAACCAGTATATCAGTAAACCACAAATTACTGCAAAAATCGGTTTAATTACTTTATATAGATTAGAAATTAAGACTATTTTCTTTCTAGTCATTCTTACCTTATAGCTCTAGGTATTTTCAAAGTCAAGCTTCGTTAGTAATTGTTCAAACCATATACTGTGACATCTTTAAAGTTTGTCAACAAAGGGCTGTTGTAATAAAGCTACTGACAGAGAAAGAAAGTTTCTTGAAAAAATGAGACATTGAGGCATTATTTTTTCAAGGGATGATAGTTTCCTGATGGATATAAGATTATATTTGAGATGAGCAGAAAAATTAAAAAAAAAACAGTAAATGTTTTTGTTTCCAGATGAGACTCCTAGGAGCTGTGCAGAAATGAAAGCTGGAATACTGTTTCAACTTAACTTTGCCAAATACACTAAATAAGTATTTTATAATGCTAAAATATTTTTGAGTAAAGTATTCTTGAAATAGAAATATTTTTATTTGTATTTTGTAACTTTATGTGGTTCTGCACTCAGCACCTAATAGGTGTATACTAGTCACAATAGAGTTAAATTTGCTAAACACAAGCTTACTACATTCTCACATAAACTAAACTATTCATAGTCACTTCAGCTGTTGTATGTTCAGTCTCATGAAATAAAAACTGAAAATATGTTGTTGGTTTTTTAAACAGGTAGTTTCTGAACCTTTGAGAGTCTACTGCTGTGACCCCAGTGCTATATGGTGGCAAAAATATAATGAGAGGTGTGGAGACCCCAGAGCCTTCCGGTGGATCATGTATGGTGATCCTGATGCTACACTAGTGTCAGTACATCAGGCAGCAAATCAGTTCAATCCTTTACCACCAGGTGGACTCTGTGTCATTCAGCCTATGGATGGCTGGTCTCGTATTCTTATACCAGGTCAGAATTGGCATTTATTGTGGACTACTCATTAGTCGAGGACGAGGTTTCTTTATCTTTTCATGCCTGTAAACTTAACTGTGTGATACAGCTCAGTTTGAAAGTTTTGCTGTAGAGTTAAAATTTATAATAACTGTTAATTAGAAGAACAGATGTTAGAATTATTGTTTTAGAATGGGAAATAGCTTTTAGATGATGGTTCACCAATATATGTTAAGTTGAACTGTTATACATACATTGTTTATATATTATGGCTTAGCTATACTAGGGTTCAAATAATTTCGTAAGTCGTGACACACTGAACTACATTTTAACTAGAAAAACTGAAACAGAACAAGGCCATGCCGGAAGTACTTGTTTCGACATGCATGACTGAATCTGACAAGTAACACCTGTACCTGTTGGTCCCCATTGTAAACATGCCGTGTTCTGTGTCAATAAAAATTCCAGCTTGGGCTGCATGTGAAGCTAGATGTTGGAACTAGAAATCTGATAAACTAAACAAGCGAGATAAAAAAACTGGAATGTAGCTGTGTGTGAAAATAACATTCTAAGATCCCTCATTTTGTTAGTTGTAATTTTGATGATTGAAACCAGTTATTACTATTGATCAGATTGAAAGTTTGTTCATCTGTATAGCAGTTGATTGTTAGTCTTCTTTTTTTTTTAAGAATTCTTTCTTTCTTTTTTAGATCTTGTTCATTATGATGTGCAGTTTTAATTTACAAAAGGATCTAGTAAGCAGAGTTTCTCAGATTGTTGTTTAATGATGTAAAGTTATAAGAATGTAAAACAATATTAAGTAGTAGAGATATCTATGAGGATTGAGTAATATTCAAACGTTTTTGTATTTTTTGCTCAAGTTCTAAACTTGATTTGAGAATATAAAAAAATATCTAGGCTAATAGAAAAGACCATTGTTATCTGATTATGTGAGTAAAGAAATTTAATATGTTAGCCAGAATGTTTATTCATAACAGATAAAGAAACCTTGGTCACTGATTCTGGAAAACTCGATGTCCTTGATGATCTCCTAATGAGGCTGAAAGCTGAAGGCCACAGAGTACTTATCTACTCCCAAATGACTCGCATGATTGATCTCCTAGAGGTATGTTTTATTTGTTTATATCTGGATCAGTGTTGAACTTTGATGAATATACTGTTTATCTACTCCCGTATGTCTCATGTGACTAGTCATGTAATAGTAGGTTTTATTTGTTTATATCTGGATCAGTGTTGAACGTTGATGAATATACTGTTTATCTACTCCCGTATGTCTCATGTGACTAGTCATGTAATAGTAGGTTTTATTTGTTTATATCTGGATCAGTGTTGAACATTGATAGATATACTGTTTATCTACTCCCGTATGTCTCATGTGACTAGTTATGTAATAGTAGGTTTTATTTGTTTATATCTGGATCAGTGTTGAACATTGATAAATATACTGTTTATCTACTCTCGTATGTCTCATGTGACTAGTCATGTAGTAGTAGGTTTTATTTGTTTATATCTGGATCAGTGTTGAACATTGATAAATATACTGTTTATCTACTCTCGTATGTCTCATGTGACTAGTCATGTAGTAGTAGGTTTTATTTGTTTATATCTGGATCAGTGTTGAATGTTGAATATACTGTTTATCTACTCCCGTATGTCTCATGTGACTAGTCATGTAGTAGTAGGTTTTATTTGTTTATATCTGGATCAGTGTTGAATGTTGAATATACTGTTTTTCTACTCCCGTATGTCTCATGTGACTAGTCATGTAGTAGTAGGTTTTATTTGTTTATATCTGGATCAGTGTTGAACATTAATAAATATACTGTTTATCTACTCCCGTATGTCTCATGTGACTAGTCATGTAATAGTAGGTTTTATTTGTTTATATCTGGATCAGTGTTGAACGTTGATGAATATACTGTTTATCTACTCCCATATGTCTCATGTGATTAGTCATGTAGTAGTAGGTTTTATTTGTTTACATCTGGATCAGTGTTGAATGTTGAATATTGTACTACTTATCTGTTCCCAGGTGATTTGTAACATTGATATTCTAGAAGTATAAGCTGATATCAATAATATTTTTGTAACTTTTACATTCAGAATTTATATCTTGCTAAATTTTTAACTGTTGTTGCTGTTTGGTGACTGACCTCTAGAGGTTGTCAAAAATATTAGATATGTATTGTCTTTGTAAGCTCTCAAGAAAAATGTTTCTCATACTCCAGGAGTACATGTGGCATAGGAAACATACGTATATGAGGTTAGATGGTTCGTCCAAAATCTCCGATCGCAGAGACATGGTTGCTGGATTTCAGACAAGGTGACGTACAGACATTCTAACAGTCATTTTTTCTTTCCTAAAATTATAATATACAAATCATTTATGTTTGAATGTGAGTATTGGATTCTAATCCAGTTTGTTTTGAAAGGCTAGTTTTAAATAAACGATAGGTTACTCTTGGAACAAAAACTGGTATTGAGTTAAAAACGCAAGGAAAATATTTTTAAGATAAAAAAAAAAGTTGTTATTAAGTTAGGCAAAGATTCAGTCGTGGCTTTTGTTTACAGGTCAGATATCTTTGTGTTTCTGCTGAGTACCAGAGCTGGAGGACTGGGTATCAACTTGACGGCAGCAGACACGGTAGGTGGACATTAAACCAAAAAGTTGTGGGTCTTGTAAAAATTAAATTATCCTAATATTCAAAAGACTGACTCACAGTGGGCAGTTATCAAAACATACACTGTTTGAGGAATTTTTTCTTTTATGTTTGTACACAATAAAATTGGCTTTAACAATATCTGCTTCTTATGTATTATTCCTCTAAACAATAATAACAAAATCCTCCTCTTCACATACTAAGCTTCAAACAAAAAGTTGTCTAGTTTAAAAATGCAAGATATATATATATATATATATATATAGTGAAATCCGTCTGCTGTGGTAGTTCTTCGTTGTCTCTTCTAATGGTTACATTGTATGATTATTATAAATATGGTGTCTTTCTTCAGGTTATCTTCTATGACAGTGACTGGAATCCTACGGTTGATCAACAGGCCATGGACAGAGCTCACCGACTGGGCCAGACAAAA